CAAAAAAAAAAAAAAAAAAAAAAAAGTAAAGAATGACATTTGTGGGGTCAGGGATGTAGCTCAGTGGCACAGCAAGAGTGACTTTTGTGTGGCCCGAGTGTGGGTGTAGCTGCGGGGTGGAGTGCAGCCCTAGCAGGCCCGAGGCCCTGGGTTCAATCGCCCGTTGGGGGTGGGGACATTGGCAGGCCTGGGGATGGAGATGGCAGTAGGGGTGGGGTGGGGGACAAGGGCACAGTGATCGAATGCATACAGACCCTGGGTCCCACGCCCAGCACCACGGGGAAAGACATTTGCAAAGGCTGCTGCGCCCTGACTGGTGACATCCCACAGGTGCAGCGACTCCCTCTACCTACATCCCCACCGGGGCAGCCACCAACTTGCTTTTGCTCTGCTCTTTCCTCTCCGCTGCCTGGCTGCAACTTCTCCCACTTCAGCAACATGGTTCCGAGTATCAAGTGCTGCCTATCCATTCCCTTGCCGATCTGCCACCGCCCAAGTCACACCCAGCGTGTGCCCCCCCCCGCCCTGTCCCTGCTATTGAGCATCCTGGAATTGTTCTGCTTGAGCCTTCCAGCTACTTGTGGTAAACATACCATGATAAAAGTTGATTTACCATTTTAAAAAGACATTTGCCATAGATTCTTGGTAAACACTACCGAATTAGACAAATTCCCCTCTATTATTGTTTTAATCATAAACTCATATAGATATTCAATGCTATCAAACAAAAAATTTTTTTGAGACAGGGGTCTCACTGTGTACTCCAGGCTGGCCTTGAACTCTCAGTAACACTCCTCCTTGGATTGCAGGTGTTCACCACGCCTGGCTTCAAATTTCTCCTATTAAAAAATACTTTTTTTTTTTTTTTTTGAGACAGGGTCTCACTGTGTAGCTGAGCCTGACCTGGAACTCACTATGTAGCCCAGGCTGGTCTCAAACTCAGAGCAATCCTCCTGCCTCAACCTCCTGTGTGCGGGGATTACAGGTGTGCACCCCACACCTGGCTGGTTTCTCTCCTTTTACCTGGTACATTTTCTGAGGTTGAATCACTCCTGCAGTACGGGTATACACTATACTCTTGCTAAGAGCTGAATTTAGACTTTTAGGATCTCTGTATCAATGTTCATGTGTTACAAATATATATTATATACTTACCACATTATTCTCATTAGACTTGGGGATCAAAATATACCACCCTCATACAATGAATCGGATAACTTTTTTAAGCTATCCTCTAGAAAATCATGTACAAGACAGGAATGAACTGTACCTTGAAAGTTTGGTAGAATTTAGCCAGGCATAGTGGCATGGGTCTGTAATCCCAGCACTCAGGAAAATGAGGCAGGAGGATCACTAGGCCAGCCTGAACTACAGAGCAAAAATTAGTCTCAAAAAACAAAAATAAAACAAACAAAACACACACACACACGGCTAGGGATTTAGCTGTGATGCCACCACCTGCCTCACAAGTGCAAGGTCTTAAATTCCATCCCGAGTACCAAAAAAAACCCCAAAAAACAAAACAAACAAAAACCACACACACATACACCCAAAAGCAAATTTATTAGAACTTACCTGAAAAATATCTGGTCCTCAAAGAGGGCTCCCTGCTACCTTTGAAGTTTCTCTAATCCATTTTGTTGTCTCTAAATTGTTTTTTTTTTTCTTTACCAGTTGTTTTGTTGCTGCTTGTTTTTTTGGTGTGTGTGGGGGGGTTGAGACAGGGTCTCACTATGTAGCCCAGGCCAGTCTCCAACTCAGTGATCCTCCTGCCTCAGCCTCCCAAGTGCTGGGATTACAGGCCTGCAACACCACGCCCAGCTACCAGTTGTTTTTTTGAGGCAGTGTTGCTATGTACTGGCCTTGAACTCACTACATAGCCCAGGATAGCCTTGAACTTGTGTGCAAGTGCGGGATTACAAGTGTGCACCACTATACCTGGATGGCATTACATATTTTTCATGTCTTTGTAGTAATATATCCATTTTATCTAGGTTTTCTAATGTAAATATACTTCAGTAATTTGAAGTTTTCTCTCCTACTGCTATTTCCCTTAAGTCTGCATTTATTTGCACATTTCCTTTGGCTTTGATGTTTCACTGGGCATGATGGTGTAGGGCTATAATCCCAGTACTCAGTAGGCTGAGGTAGGAAAATCCACTAGGTATTCAAGTCCAGCCTGGGCTACATAATGAGTTCAACCCAGCCTGAACTACATAGCAAGACCATCTCAAAAAAAAAGAAAATATTTTTTTTTTTTGGGGGGGGGGTTGAGACAGGGCCTCACTACGTAGTCGAGACTGACCTGGAACTCACTATGTAGCCCAGGATGGTCTTAAACTCACAGATCCTCCTGCCTCAAGCTTCCCAAGTGCTGGGATTACAAAAGAACTTAATTTTTGAAGTACCAACTTTTGTTATTTTCTCTAATCCTTTTGTTCTTCCATTTCAACTCTATTTTCTTTTTTTAATTTTGCATCTGATTGGCTCTAGTTCCAACTTTTTTTTTGTATCAGGGATCGAACTCAGGACCTTGTGCTTGAGGCAGGGTGGTGGCACCACTGAACCAAATCCCTGGTCCCTTGACTTCCAACTTTTTACACTGAATATTTCGGTAATATTTTTAAACTTTTCATCATGAAATAACTGTAGATTTATAGAGTTGTTAAGACGTAATTATACAGAGAAGTCCCATGTGATTTCCATGAGCTACTGGTATCTAAGAGGGTGAGCGGACTGTGAATTCCCAGGCAGCCTGCTCTGCTGAGGCCCTACATTGCCTCAGGACTAACCAGCAAGGGCATCACCAGACGTGACCCCCTTAGCCTTGAATTTCCAGAGCAATGAGCCAAAGTAAACCTCCTTTCTTTATAAAGTTACCAGCTTCGGTTATTTCATTCAAAACAAATGAGGTACAGTGGTGCGTGCCCTTAACCCTAATTACTCAGGATGCTGAAGCAGAAGAATCACAAGTTGAAGGCCAGTCTCGACTGTGAAGTGAGATCGCTTCTCAAAAAAATTGCATGAGGGCTGTGAGTTAGGTGTCAGGGTACACACCCAATCCCAGCATTCTGGCAAACTCAAGCAGGAGGATCACAGCCTGGGTACTTCAGTGACTCGAACCCTGATTAAGGGGGGGGGTGGCTGTTGGGATGTCGTCAGTGGTGGAAGGCCCGAGTTCAGAACTCAGCGCGCGCGCACACACACGGCCAAATACTTCCATCACAAGGATCCCTCACATTGCCCTTAGATCCCTACTTTCACCACTTCCTGAGCCCTTGGCGATCATTCTATTCTCTCCATGATGTTGTCATTTCTGTTAAATAAATTGAGTTATACAGTATTTAACCTGTTTTTTTGTTTTACGGTACTGGAGATTGAAACCAGGGCCTTCACACTAAATCTAAGTCACTAAATGGCCCAGGCTGGGCTTGAACTTGTGATCCTCGTATATCAGCTACCTCAATAGTAAGATAACAGGTACATGCCACAGCACTCAGCTGGCAATTTTTTTTTTACTTATTTTGTTTTTTTGAGACAGGGTCTTGCTATGTAGTTCAGGCGGGTCTTGAACTTGTGGTGATCCTCCTGCCTCAGCCTCCCAAGTGCTAGGATTACCAGCAATTTCTTTAAAAGACTAAACATGCAACTGCATAGTACCCAGCAATTGAACTCTTAGCCATTATAGAAACAAAGACCTAGCTGGGTGTGGTGACACCCGCCAGCAATCACAGCACTTTGGGGGCTGATGTAGGAGGATCACAAATGCAAGTCCAGTCCTGGCAATTTACCAGTCCCGTAGCAAGGGTATCTCAAAAGAAAGAATAAAAAGGGCTGGGGATGTAGCTCAATATGAAGGTCTTGGGTTCATTTCCCAGTATCCCAAAGGAGGGTAATGGAAAAAGACCACGTTCACAAAAATTTATTTATGCATTTGAATACATAGCATATTCAATATCTTTCAATTCCAACATTTCACCTTTTAAGGTTTCATTTACTAGACAAATTCATTATGGGATTACGGGCATGTGCCAAGACACATGGCAGTTGCTACTTCCTTTGAGACAGTGTCTCACTATGGAGTCAAGGCTGACCTTGAACTCACTACTGAGCCAGGTGTGCACCACCACACCTCGTGCTAGTTTTTAAAAGGTTGGGCTGGGGTTGTAGCCAGGTGGTAAAATTCTTGCCTAGCATGGACAAGGGTCCTGGGTTTGATCTCTAACACTGAAAAAAAAAAATTATAGGTTTTAAGATTTTGCTTGTTCTTAGTGGTAAAAATGTGCACCAAAATTTCAAGACAATATACTTTTAATGACATTTTAACATATAAACATCTCCATGAAATAAATCTCAAGTATGACATTTAAGTTTCTCAGTAAAATTTATTACATTTTAGTTTGCATTTAAGTCTTAGATATATTACACTCAAGGCAACAGAGATAGACCATTAAGAAGGGAGCTGTTTCACATTCTCAGTGTCAACTTCCTGGTCAGCCTGCTTGCCTCCCACAGCAGATGGCTTGCTTTAGCAGTTATTCCCTCGATACCTGTCTTTCATATGAAGGGGTGGGCTGAGGCAGACGGCAAACTTTTCAGAACTTTCAATAATAATAAACAGCCCGCTGGACCATGTGTGCCCTGGGTTCACTACCACTGGGCTAGGGTGTAGCTCAATGGACAGCGCATGCTTAGCACGGGCAAGGCCTTGGGTTCCAACCCCAGCGCCGAAGGGTGTGGGAGTGGGGGTGGTGCTGGTGGTTGAACCTCAGCTTTACATCCAGTCTGAGCCCATGAATCCAGGCCACCAGCTATTTTCGGGTACAGTCTACTGAAGGCTTCTCAACAGTCAATGATGAGCCTGCAGAGAACGCTGTTGTCTCGGAAGAAGAAAATACCACATAAAGTGGCAGCTACAATTTTCTAACAGAAGAAATTAGAGAAGGAAAAGAATCTGAGGATGGAGCGAATACTCTGAGAATAGAGTAAGTACTACATACATACACCAGAGTGAAGAGAAGGCTCTCTGGAGTCCAAGTGCTTACATTTTTCTTTAAAAGTCTGATAAAGCTGACTCAATTACATTTTATATAATATTTAGTGAGCTTTGCCCCAAAGGGCTGTTTTAACTTCATTTGAAAAAATAATAAAAATTTCATCAATAAGCCTCTGGTGAATAAGAAAGGAATAAAATCTTACTAGAAATAACAATAAATAATTTTACACAAAAGTTCAGGTAACATAAGACTACTATATTAATCAATATATTTTCTTTGTATTTACAATAAATCTATTTGTTAATACTGTAATAGAAAAAAATGAATCAGCCCACATTCTGTAGTATAATCAGGCTTCAAGGATCATATCTTTTACAATGAAAACATACAAGGATTTCTCAAATAACTAAAGAACTTTTCAACATAATGAAAACTTCTGGTAAAAGAGTACTTTATTGCTTTTTTTTTAATATTATTTTTGAGACAGGGTCTTGCTATGCAGTTCAGGGTGGCCTTGAGCTCACTATGTAGCCCAGGCTGGCCTCAAACTCTTGGCGATCCTCCTGCCTCAGCATCCCACAGGCAGGGATTACAGGTGCGTGCCACCATGCCTACCTAAAACTGACTGGTTGGCTATGACCCAGAATCAAGGAATCAAGGACATTACCATTAACTGAGCAGCAAATAGTGTTTTAGTTTTTCCAAGACTACTTAAATACAATTGTTACCATGTGAGAAGTTAATTTTACTTTCCAAGTTAGAAAAATGAAAGGTCTACAGGTCTACCTTGAGAAACTGCACTAATCAAAAGCAGACCCCTAACAAAAGAGTCACCAACAGAAATAAAATATTCTCATAGGTGTACCATACATAAAAAAGATAATTACATAATATATCCCTAACGACCAGACTAATAAATGAGGTAAACTATGCAGTCAGTGTAACAAATTATATTTAACCACTGGTGTGCTGCCCATTTTTGTTTGAAAATATAAATATTCTAATGTCTAAAAACCACTTTGAGTTTGCTTTTTAGATCCCCTTTCGAGATATTGAGACACTGTAACAAAATATCTGAATACAAATTATCAACATCAAGTTATCACGTAACCTTCATTTTATATACAAACTAGAAAAAATGATGAAAACAGAACCCCCTAGAACTTAAAATTACCAGATTAATCCATGAAATAAAAATAAAATTCAAATAGGTAACTTGATATCCTTTCCATATATAGTGATCTATGAAGATACAACCTCTAAACAAATTTATTATCACAAAGAGAAGAAAAATGAAAATCTTGTTTAAAATTTAGTTAGCCACCTTATATCCTCTGAAAAAAAGGCTAACATTAGGAAGAACTGTACTACTTTCTATTGTAGACATGAGAAAAATATTAATTTGAAAGTATCAGTTGGACCAAGCATTTCATACCACACCACTAATTAGCTACCTATAGCTACCTCTGGTACAGTAACGTATCTATTGTAACTACTGATGACAGCACTTGTCAGAGTATATGAATTTCTATTTTTACTTTCTTCTCTCCCTTGCCACTTAAATACATTTTATTTATTTATTTATTTTTGGTTTTTTGAGACAGGGTCTCACTATGTAGTTGAGACTGACCTGAAACTCACTATGTAGCCCAGGCTGGTCTCGAACTCACAGCGATCCTCCTGCCTCAGCCTCCTGAGTGCTGGGATTACAGGCATGTGCCACCACGCCCGACGCAATACATTTTAACTGATGGGAAATTTTATTCACAAATTCCGTTTCAATTACTGAAGAGGTGATTTAAAAACATAAACAGAGGAGCTCTACATATAGCTCAGTGGTAGAAAACTTGCCTAGCTTGCTCAAAGCCCTGGGTTTGATCCTCACACTGGAAAAAAATAAAAAAGAGAAAAAACATAAATGGACAAATCCGTTAATCCTGACATGATGACAATGACGATGATGACAGGATACTTACAACCCAGATAAATTTTCACTCAAATTTCTGCTTTAGCTTTTTTTGGAAGATGGCTGGAAGAATAGAAAGAACAGCCAAAATCATCAGAATAAATACTGAGTTCCAGGAAACAGCTTCCCCTGCTGTTGTAAGCTGGTACAATGTTGTTCCTGCTTTAATTGCTACAAAAGAAGGAGGCGCAACACCTAAAATAAAACATAAAAACACAGTAAAAACTACAACTTATTTTTAAGAATTAAAAACTTCTGTGTGCATAAAATTTCTTTAAGATCACAGCTACTACTGGTCTGGGGATTTAGCTCCATGGTGCCACCACCCACCGCACAAGCTCAAGGTCCTGAGTTCAATCCCTGGTACCAAAAAAAAAAAAAAAAAAAAAAAAAAAAAAAAAAAACATT